GGGGGGGGGGGGGGGGGGGGGGGGGGGGGGGGGGGGGGGGGGGGGGGGGGGGCTCGTCATCCTTACTTGCAGCTGAGAGGAGGTTGCCAAATTGCGAAGGAGACGCCCCATACATTATTATTTTACTGTGTCTAACGCCAAACGATTTCAATCGTCCAAGAGAGAATGCTGCCACTCGATGGCATATATAGAGTAAGATCTTCCTTACTTTCGCGCTGTGTTGTGAAACAGTCCTTGGCACAACGCCTTCAGAATTGCTTCTTTATTGCTTTTTTGTCGCGTAGGCTTTTTAGAATTTTCTTCCATTTTCTGAAAATAAAATAGAAATACAACAATAAGGTTTGTTTACTCTAATGTAGGACTTCATAAATCTGTGTTTCAGTATTACACAGCTTTCAAAATAAGCCGACCGGCGCTCCTGCAGGTGGCACGAGGTTTACCACAGGTCACTTTATTTAGTTCTTGAAATATCAATTCTGCTCTCCTACCTCCACTTTAAGCTTACAAAAAAAGTTATTTTTCCTCAACCTCGTCTATTTTATACTATATTATAGCCTTTCGAAAACGACGTACTACAGTATTTCCTAAAACTGATTTAGTTATTTGCCGAATATCAACATCTTATATACTCAAGGCGAGACTTTTTTTATTCATTGGTTTACGGATCCGCCGACCGTAAATAGTCAGAAAGTGAAAAATAAAAAAAAATTTGGATGTCAACAATTTTAGTTAATTTTAGTTAATTTGGGGTTCTGACATGAAGTACACGCCAAGTAAACTTTGACTCTAAGTACTACCGGCTCATGTTATCGTTGTGACAATCTTGAAAAACAATGTTTTTTTAAAATTTTTTTCCGACCTACCGACCTGGGTTTTTTCAAGTAAAATCCGTAAACCAATAAATAAAAAAAGTCTCGCCCTGAAGATTCGAGCTATTTTATTGTCTTTCTTAAATAACTCGAATCTCGAGTTTACAAGATGTCAAAATACAAGAACCTTCCCACTACCGCAGTAATTTTAAGTAAATTGTTCTGTGTTTTTTTTTGTAGCGGTTACCAAATTATGAGCAAATATGGGGACAAAATTTAGTTTTCTTTGTTTTATTTGATAACTTGTGGCAAAGGCTGCATTGTTCGTTAGTTTCACTGTATTTTAACAAATAGAAAGTGCGGAATTGAATTTTATCCCGATATTTGTCTATAAACCGGTAACTACAACAGTAATACAGAACAAATTACAGAAAATATCAACAGACTACGGAAGCGGGAAGGTTCTTGTATTTTGACTGCAATAGTTGGAATCTTCTACAGTGTTCACCAGTTCTTTAGGGGTTCGGTAGAAGGAAATTTCCAATAACATTTTTTTTTTAGAACAGACTGGGCGCTATATATATAAAAATAGCAATGCCAAATACGTTTCATGTTTTTTTTAATAATATCCGAGACGATAAAAACAGGACTCGTATACATAATCATATTTATAATAAGCTATCTTTAAAAGCGTGCAAATTGTTCTAATAGGCTTTTTCATAATGAGGAGAAACGGCACTTAAGTGCGATGTCCCACTGGGCAATTTTAGCGAAATTCGCAATGCAAATAATGTTGCCCCCCCCCCCCTCCCCCGACGGAAGCATACCGGAAACCTGCAATCCCGGTGGAAAGCCACAGAGTCCACTTGCCGAGCACAACCACATCTATCATCCGCTTTGAATATTCACACATATACCTAACACTGGTATCACCTTATATACAGTAAAATCCCGCATAAAAGAACCAGTGAATTTTGACTTCAGGCTGAAGTGGTGCTTATATAACGGGTACTTAGAAAGAAATCAGGCTGAAGTGGTTCTTAACTGGTTCTTATTTCCAGTCAAAAACAATTGTTCCTGGTTTCGAGTTTTAAACCTCTTATTGTATATAATGAAACCAGTAAATGAACTGTAATTTAATTATTCTGATAAAATAAATGCATGCATGATGTGGTTGAAAGATATAATTTCTGCTAGCAAGATTACGGTATTTTGTTTTCTTCCTAGTACCTGCTTAAGAACGAGTTTCATTTGTCAGCCTGAAGTGGTTCTTGTATTTTGGGTACTTAATTGCCCAAATTTCAGGCTGGAGGTTCTTAACCCACTGGTTCTTTTATGCGGGGTTTTACTGTATACAAGAACTTGTGACCATTGCTCGACAACTCGGTGGTTCCAATGCTCTGGGCCCGGTTGTTCAAAAGCAAACTTCTCAACAGTTTCATGTTTATAAATTTGGAAATATTTCTTCAGAGATCTTGTCTGCGTGGACCAATCAGAGTTTACTTCTCTGAAGTTTTGAAATAAACAGACGTGCAGAAATACAAAAACTAAAATAGCAGGTTAAATTTTAACCCAGGGTTAGCGCTAATCCAGCTTTGAACAACCTGGTCCCTGGCACTCAAATGAGACAGCAGAGGCACACGTACGCTTTCAGCAGGAAGCCATACAGTATATGCAGCTGTTCCCGGTTGGGTCAAAAAATATACAGAATTTTCTCTCGAAATTTCCACCGACAATAAGCCATCAAGATGTTTGTTGCAGCTGTCATACCTGTCGTTGCATAATGGACTTGAGTTGTTCAAGAATGTTCGCGGCTGTCTTCACAGCTCTCCAGTGCAAGAAATGTTCACGACACCACTTGGCTGGTTCAACACTACAGTATATACAATCAAACGGGATTGTTAGTTTTATGGTTTTGTCATGTCGTGGTCAGCACACTTGCCTTTCAAGCTGGGAGACCCGGGTTCAATCCTTGCTCGGATCTCAAGGTCTTAAAATAATTTAGAAAGTGCTGACATTAGTAAATGGTTAGACTTTCGCGTCTTCTCGGATAAGGACGTTAAAATCGTAGGTACCTCGGATCCCCTGTTGGAAAATCCGCTCACCAATGAGTGAGAATCTCCGTAAACTACAAGCAATGATAACGTTACAAATTGTGCATATAACGTTACAATTGGGGCGGGGGGGGGGACGAAAATATGCGCAATCTTGATGAAATTGCCCGAATGAAATCTTCCGTTGTAAACTTCCCCCAGATTTTGTCGACGGAGGGGTGAGGGGGGGGGGGAGGGGTGGAGAGAAGGCAAAAAATCTTCGAAACCGATTTTAAAGTAGAATTGCCGAATTTTAAGGCACAAGCTGCCCGATTTTTAAGTACAAATTGGGGGGGGGGGGGCTAACCTCCCTCCTATACCTATGCCAAAAAACACCTCTTAAAATCTAACATACCTTCTAAAACACTCTTCAAAAACATACAACAATGTTAAGAAGTCGTTGTTTCCTCCAGCCGAAGCAGCAAGTTCGGCCCAAACTTTCGAAGCCTTAGAAAACTTCTTTCGATCCCCCGGTCGTAGAAACACATCCTCCACAGACAGCATCGCCACAATAATCAGTATTGATTCAACACAATTGAATTCTAATGAAGCTAAGAGAATTCTGGACAAACAAGGAGACAGTGGAAACAGAACCATGTTATGACCAATAGCTGTGATGCCACCATCCCTGAAATTAACGAACTTTATGTTTATTTATGTCGGAAGACTTTGATGTATTGAAACAAGTCACTAGGCTAAACGAAAATTCAAATACTGGTTAACAGAACTCAAATGTTCTGGAGAAAATCTTGTTGTTCAAGAAGATTATTATTGTTGCTTTGAACAATCTTTCGTTTACAGTTAACTATAATCTATCTCTAGAAAATAATGAAGTTCTTTGCTGAATTGTGCACCGTGACTTATTTCAATACATCGAAATCATACCGCCTCACATCTCGTCCTGGCAAAGCGGGATCATATAAACAGCCTCTTATTCAGCAAATTGCGCATGCTGCCTTTGATCCCCTGGGGTTGAGACAGCACTTTCCTTGCGATACTAACTTCTAGTTCAAAAATGCTTAAGCAACGAAATGTCCCATCGTTTTCTTATGCGCTAAGCCGCCATCCAATATAAATGCCAATCGTTTACCTATCAAGGGCTCCCAGAATATACAACTGTTTCACAGCCTCCATCACCATTTTTTCTTCAGGAGGATCGATATAGTCAAACCTGAAAGTAGAAATGCAGACAAGTGTTGGTTGGGATGTTGTAAGCATACAGAAATGGAGAAAGTGTTTCGTGTTCATCAGATCCTGAATTCGCTTTTTTCAAATGCTCCTCAAAAGTGCAAAAAACATCGGAAAATTTGACCATATATATTACGCCATTTTGTACGCAAAACATAGTATATACTTGACAGAGCGAGGACTTTAACCATTTCAGTAAACTGTTCTTTGTAGACTTCATAGCTTTTTTACTGAGTTCATTTGTTGAAGAGTTTGAATCCAGGTTTATTCATTTATTTTTGATTGTTCATCTAGATTATATTTATAAAATGTTTTATTTTATTTTATTTTTCTCTACAGAAACCATTATCAAAGACTTGACGGTTTATTACTAATGAGTAATGTTCATCTTGCCTCAGCTGCATGATTGACAAAATAAAACATTTTGTAAATATTAATCTAGATGAACAATAAAAATAAATAAGTTAATTTGTATTGTCTAATTCTGTAATTGGTCTCCTAGACTGTTGCGAGTACCCAACACTATCACAGATTTGTATATTTGTATATTTGTTGTATGTGTGTGTTTTTTTACAGTACTTGTCAGTTTGCGTGGCAGGCTCATTGAAGGATAAGTAAGCAGGCTAAGTAATTGTCAGCAGCCTACCCGAAGGCAAAACAGTTAAATATAAAGGCCAGGGTCAAACGTGGAACTTTTCATGTGCCGAACCTAATGTTAATGAGCTACGTTCTTTGTTTCACTTCATTTGCATTAGCTTCGGCACATGAAAAGTTCGACGTTTGACCGTGGCCTAAGTTACTGAAGAAATAAAAGTTAGTTATTAACCCAATTAGTTACTTTGAGCCCTAACTTATTTACTCTTTCGTCAGACAGACAATTTTATTTGTCAAGGGAAAAGCGCTAACGATCAATGGTTTAAAGGCGTTATCATTCTCACCTTATCACGTCATGAATACCCATAGTTTTCAAATACAACACAACTTTAGCCAAGTTTGTTCGTTGAATCTCTGGTGCTGTTTCTGCTGACATCACGTCATCATACACGTCTCTATGGAGATACATTACACGCCTTAATTTACCTTTTAAATGTTGCTTCACAAAAAATGCACAAGGAAAACAAAATTACGTTATTATGTGTTAAGTTTCCAGCCAGGTATATAAAAGTTGTTGCACTGAGCTTGGTTTACAATAACACGTATTATTATATATTCAAAGTCTATTTCCGTTCGTGATTGATCCGCCTTCGACTTCGGTCGATAACACGAACCTCGGTCATTCGATAATTATTTAAAATGACATGGATGAAAACTAGTTGTTAAAATTACCCAAAATCTCATGAAACATATTTTTTAAGTTTGCAGTTTTGCATGGCGATAAACGATATAATACTTTTGTTTGTGGAAAAACCACGTAAATTTATTACTGCAGTAATAAATTTACGTGGTGTTTCCACAAACAAAAAGTATTACATATATTGTTTTGTCCCCAAATTTGACGTGATCTTGTGCAGTGTGGATTGTTACACGGCTAAAAACGCACAGGTTGTTGCAAGTTGATATCGACAGGCGTGAACAATGTTGTGCGGCCAACTATGAACAAGTTGTCAACCATGTTGTTCCAAGTTGTTACAGTTGAACAATGCTGTAACAACATGTTGACAATACTGTTCATAGTGGGCCGCACAACCTTGTTCACGCCTGTCGATATCAACTCGCTCCTCTAGCAGTGTTATACCTCGTATACAAACGATAACATATCCCCTCCGTAGTTCGCCCCGCTCTTCCAGCTCTCTGTAAAGCTTCAGATCTACCAATAGTTACATAAGAAATAAGTACGGTATAAAAAGCTGCGTATTTATTCACAACAAGTACTGCAACTTACTGAGAGATAAGGACAATGTTAAGAGAATCCAATCCTGTTCTTGGATTGAACGAAAGTTGTTTTACAAAGCCACAATCAATCACATATCTGCAATAAGATAGACATACTGTTTATTGCACTTTTGCGCTAATGGCCTCATTTCCATGTGTGCCTGTTTCAGCATGACAGGAACACATGAAGGTTATATATCACTATGTTTCTTGCACAAATATGTTTTTCTTTGATCTTGAGTTGAATCACAAACCTATCCTTAATCCTATTGTGCACGACACATAAGGACTGATAGCCACATGAAAACAAGGCCATTGGTAGACTGTACTGGAATAGTGGTATTATTGGAAGTGATATTATCGCTTGAGCGAGTACAAAAACGATCCTTGGCTATAATTTACAGAGGACAGCCGTATTCAGAAAGCCTGCAACATTCTGGACTAAACTCCTTATCGGTCCGAAGATAAACACTGTGTGAAAAGCTTTTCTGTAAAATATCACCTGACAGTGACCATAAACTCCATGTGCACTGCTGCCGCCAAAACACCAAGCGAAATATAACTTAACACACAAACGCCTCTACAATCTTCCAATGACTAATACTAACCACTCTAGGAACACTTTTGTACCATCCATGCTATACTGTAATAATTGAGTGACTTATCTCATTGTTAACATGTGTAATATTTAAAGTTATATATTATTGTAAAAATCTACGTAATTCAGGCATTCAGCCAGCGTGGCTGCAAAGTAGCTTTTAATAAAATATCTGTATCTTTCAATCTATCTATGTTTATTGCCAGAGAGAGAAAAGTCTCAGAAAAGATAGTTACTATATAGCTACACTTGCCTGATTCCTTCAATAGTTAGTGAGGTAGCAGCAATATTTGTTGCGACAACGACCTTTCTTACACCGTCTTCTACTGGAGCAAACACCCGTTTCTGCAGTTCTAAACAATTCACAAATTTCTAAAACTTTCTTTTTATTGCTGTAATTGTGAGGTCAGAACCAGTAGTTATATATCTTTTCAATCATTTTTACAATCGTTAAAAAAATAACTATCTGGCTTTCACACAACTGGCCCAGGTTGTCTAATAATCTCTCCTAAGTTCTATAGACTATACAAGAAGGAAGGGCGTAACTCCTGGGAGGGGGGGAGGTCGACACAACCCAATATTGTAATATTGCATTTTTGTCTGGAAATTTTAGCAATTTTAACGACACGCTGGTCGAGCAAAAAAATGTAATTCAGCAAAAAACTTACAAAAATATTACTGAAAAAATGTACAAATTTCGGTAAGTTAGTGAAAAATGGTTTCAAATGGCAAAACTCCCTTTCCAAATGCCAAAACAGAGTTTTCAAATGCCAAAACACAGTTTTAAAATGCCAAAACACAGTTTCCAAATGCCAAAACAGAGTTTCCAAATGCCAAAACAGAGTTTTCAAATGCTAAAACACAGTTTTCAAATGCCAAAACTCAGTTTTCAAATGCTAAAACACAGTTTTCAAATGCTAAAACACAGTTTCCAAATGCTAAAACTCAGTTTTCAAATGCTAAAACACAGTTTCCAAATGCCAAAACAGAGTTTCCAAATGCCAAAACAGAGTTTTCAAACGCCAAAACTCAGTTTTCAAATGCCAAAACTCAGTTTTCAAATGCTAAAACACAGTTTTCAAATGCTAAAACACAGTTTCCAAATGCTAAAACTCAGTTTTCAAATGCTAAAACACAGTTTCCAAATGCCAAAACACAGTTTCCAAATGCCAAAACACAGTTTTCAAATGCCAAAACTCAGTTTTCAAATGCAAAACTCGAAGAGGTTTTGATGCTAAAACACAGTTTTTCAAATGCTTTAAAACACACAGTTTCCAATCTAAAACTCAGTTTTCAAATGCTAAAACACAGTTTCCAAATGCCAAAACAGAGTTTCCAAATGCCAAAACAGAGTTTTCAAACGCCAAAACTCAGTTTTCAAATGCCAAAACTCAGTTTTCAAATGCTAAAACACAGTTTTCAAATGCTAAAACACAGTTTCCAAATGCTAAAACTCAGTTTTCAAATGCTAAAACACAGTTTCCAAATGCCAAAACAGAGTTTCCAAATGCCAAAACAGAGTTTTCAAACGCCAAAACTCAGTTTTCAAATGCCAAAACTCAGTTTTCAAATGCTAAAACACAGTTTTCAAATGCTAAAACACAGTTTTCAAATGCCAAAACTCAGTTTTCAAATGCTAAAACACAGTTTTCAAATGCCAAAACTCAGTTTTCAAATGCTAAAACACAGTTTTCAAATGCTAAAACTCAGTTTTCAAATGCTAAAACACAGTTTCCAAATGCCAAAACAGAGTTTCCAAATGCCAAAACAGAGTTTTCAAATGCCAAAACTCAGTTTTCAAATGCCAAAACTCAGTTTTCAAATGCTAAAACACAGTTTTCAAATGCTAAAACACAGTTTTCAAATGCTAAAACACAGTTTTCAAATGCCAAAACTCAGTTTTCAAATGCTAAAACACAGTTTTCAAATGCCAGAACTACCTTTTCAAAAGTCATAACTCCGTTTTCAAATGCCAACATTCTGTTTTCAAATGCCAGCACTCCGTTTTCAAATGCCAAAATTCTGTTTTCAAATGTCAGAACTCCCTTTTTCAAATGCCAAAAATCTGTTTTCAAATGCCAGAACTCGACTTTCACCATGCCCTTTTGGTCGGGCAAAACAAGCTCACACCTCCCCAGCCGTAATACCCACGTTACGGCCCTGACAAGAAGACAATTAACACCAGATGATTTTACTTTTTAAGAGGAAAGCACTTGTGCTCAATGGGTTAATCTGCCCATGTGTCTAGTTAATCCATTGAGTGACATTGCACCCGACTCTATTATTTTACTTTGTTTAACGGCAGACTTTACTTGTCAAGTGCTCAATGGGTTAAACACCAGCACAATAAAATATTTTATCTAAAGTGAGTTTACCAGTTGACATAGATCCATACAAAGGTAAAACCAACATTGCATCAACGTCATGACTGCAAACATCATATCTGTAATCCAAGTTTTCAGCTTTCTCAAACAACTGATCGCAACATCGTTCTATCTCGTCTTGCCCGGTGAGAAACAGCAAGATATGACCCGATGGACATTCTGTGTGGATCGTCATTGCTTTGTTTACAGCCTGTAGGATAATGTCAAATGTGTAATATTACTTTCAGAATTTTAACTGTGTATTACTGTACTTTCAGATGTTTTAACCAAGGATTCCACTTACTTTTGTTAAATAATTTGGAGTATTTATGCTATCTTTTCCAATATGATTGCAGTAGACGTTTTTCACTGGAAAAGTACGACCTGGAATTTCAAGCACAGGGCAGGATCCAAAAAATTTTGAAAACTTTTTGTGATTCAAGGATGCCGACATGACTATAATTTTCAACGGATGTTTTCTTGTTGTGGTCTTTGACGATTTAGCAATAAATAATCTTTTGATGAGGCCAAATAAAATGTCCTGAATTAAAAATAAATTCTTAGATGGTAAGATTAATGTAGCAAAAAAATGTTGAGTGTAATATTTGCAGTCAATAAAAGTTATAATATCTGCTGTCGTGCAAATGGCCTCAGAGATCACAACTTACAGTATCTAGACTTCTCTCGTGTGCTTCATCTAAAACCACAATACTATAATCCAACAGTTCTGGGTCATCTATAAACTCGCGCAGAAGACACCCGTCAGTGAGATATTTGATTTGAGTGCTTGATGACGTGCAGTCATCAAAGCGCACTTGATAACCAACCAAACCTGTTCAAAAGAAACGTAGAGAAAAAACATGACTAAAATTGAGGGCAATGAACTCTATATACTGTATCTCTAAACCTATCTGGGGAAGAGCTAGTCTCCTGTGCACAGGGCCGTTAAGCTAAGCATGCATAGTTGGGGGGGAGGGGTGTAGGCCAAAAATTTCCGAATGACGAAAGAAATTTCCGAATATTTCATGGCATACGAAGCCACGAAGGTGTTTGCAATCCGGAAAATGAAAACGCAATTTACAAACAAAAATACTCATATTTTACGCACAGACATATTACAGAAGCGTGCAGTTCTGTAGGAAGTTCTTTTTGATAAGGAGGTGGTGAGGGCCGAAGGCCCGAGGACATTTTAAAATTTAGAGTCTCTGAAATGCCATTTTGTGGACTTTGGGGGAAGTTTCGACTGAATTCTGATGGTCAGAAAACAGAGTTTTAGCACGTCGAAATTTACAATTAATTTGCTTACAATTTAGAAAAACTAAATGGGCGAAGGCGTATATGGGTAATATGATTCTTTGCGGTTTGTCATGGGTAATGTAGCCGCTTAAAATTAATCAATTGTCAGTATTTTAAAGATATATTGAGGGCTGCCCCCTCCCCCCCCCCC